GTATATGGTAGGGTGATGTTTTGTTTTCTATAAATAACAAAGCAACCTCCTCAACCATCAATGTAGTAAGAGACTTTTCATTGAATTGAAGAAGGAAGTTTTCATTAGTTGAAGGAATTAATCAAGAGATGGAAGTGGAAATCATTTCAAGAGAACTCATTAGGCCAGCAGCCTTCCAAAGGGATCAAGACCAAAAAACTTTCCAACTTTCACTTCTCGACATTTATATTGGAGTCGAAACTTACACTCCCATCATCCTCTTCTACAGCACCAAGAAGAATCAAAGTAATAATAATGAAAATACAATTTCCAGTTTGAAACTCTCTCTGTCTAAAACATTGGCTCGCTTCCCCATGCTTGCTGGAAGAATCAAAGGCAATTTTGTGCATTATTGTTCCTCCAATAATGGCGCTCTCTTTGTTGAGGCCTCAGTCAAAACGTCCATGGCTGATTTTCTCAAAACTCCACGCCTCGAGTCTCTTTCAAATCTCATTCCTTTCCCTGATTTGGTTTTGAAGGAGCCATTGGAGACTGCCGTTCAGGTTTGTGTTGATAGGTTACGGTAAACTTAATTATTTATTCATATTTGTTGGGTCTTTTCGAAATTAATAGAGAAATTTGTTGAGATGTCCTTGTTTACACTATCAAAATGAAACTTTTCTTAGATATGAWTTGATCACGTTTTTTCTTTTTTAAAAAATTAAAATTTTGTTTACAATTTTTTATTCTTCTAATTAGTTTACTGTCTCCTCCACAAATGTCTCTTTCATCTTCCATTGATATTACTTCAAGCTTTTATTTATATTTAGTTAGTTCTAATTTCCACACATTTTTCTTGTAATCTTTTTAGTGTTGAGATGGTAGGATTCCTTTAGATTCTGTTTGCGGTATATTTTTGTCATATTGGAAGATTTTAATATCCCACCAATGACTGTATTTGAAATATCTAAAACCTTACGTCATTTGTCCAAATGTACTATTAAATATGGTTATTTTTGTTTTCTCAAGTTAATTAGGAAGAAAGTTACATTGCTGCTATGATCCGAGGGCTCAAGCCCTTGCACTACTATTTGTTAAGTATCCTATGTTGAAAAGATAAGAGTCTTACCAAAGATTTATAATATACATGGGTTCTCCTGCCATACTCAATCAATTTACTCAATCGATTTTTAAATGAATCTTTGATATGGTATTAGAGTCCAACAAACTCAAACAAAGTTTATAATATATATGGAGTACTCCTCACATGCATTGTCTAACTGTTTTGAGATGATCTCATGAATATGGATACCACTGAATCAAAAAGGTATGATACCATGTTAAACTTTTATTGAATTGAAAGACTTAAGTAGATAGGCTATGAAAAATTTAATCTTTCATTCGTAATCTACTGTAGGTTGCGGCTCAAGTTAACTTTTTCTCGTGCGGTACTGGAATTGCAATGGGCTTTTGTTTCTTACACAAAATTATAGATGGAACCACCATGAGTACCTTCATAAAAACTTGGGCACTATCCAATGAAGGGATAGTAGAGAAATTAGCATGTGGGAGTTATGAGGCTTCTTCTTCACTTTTCCCAGCAAGAGAAATATCAACGAATTACAATGATCTGGTGTTCCCAGAAAGTGCAATTTTAGTGGCACAACAAAAAAATTGCTCTGTAAGGAGGTTTGTTTTTGATGCTTTAGCAATCTCAAATCTCAAAGTTAGAGCTAAATCTCAAAGCGTTTCCAATCCAACAAGTGTTGAAGCTGTAACTTGCTTTATTTGGAAGTATGCCATGAAAGCTGCATCGAAATGTAAATCATTGGGTAAGGATACAATATTAGATTTGTATTTATATTATGAAGACATTTTTGGAAAAAAAACATTAAATCTTATCAAACATATATGCATCATTATAAGCTAATTTTCCCTCTCTCTTAATATATAACAAAGAAGTTGTTGGAAATGGTAAAGAGGCAAGTTGTGATGATACAAAATGGGGGTCGCTCTTAGTTCATATCGTTAACATGCGTAGAAGAATACAACCACCATTGTCGGAATATGAAGTTGGCAACATCTTTTGGACGAGTTGTGCTTATTATGAAGAATCAGACACAGACGCAAACTTGGGTAATCTCGAAACTATATTGAGACAGTCATTACTCGAAATCACCAATGATTTTATACCTAAAGCAGTTGGAGAGGATGGATTTGAAACTATTTTGAGTTCATTACACCAATTAGGACTTGCATATTATGCAAAGGGTTCAGAGTCATTTATCTTCTCGAGCTGGTGTAATATGGGTTTAAATACAGTGAATTTTGGATGGAATAAGCCTATATGGATTGCAACTGGAGGAAAACCTAATGAGTCATTGATGATACGAAATATAATTCTGTTGATGGACAGAGCATCAGGTGAAGGAATAGAAGCGTGGATTACTTTGGATGACGAAACAATGAACCTGTTAGAAAATGACTATGAGTTTCTTGAGTTTGCTTCCCCCAACCCAGGAATCACACTGGATTGAGATCTCATATTGTACTATTATTTGTGTTTTAGTTGAGTGGTTCAGCAATAATTAAGTGTGTTTTGTTATTAGAAGCTTTATAGATATGAGATTTAGATTGTATGAATTATCAATCTGAGTATAGTTTATAAAACTACTCCCAAAATCTCTATTCTTACTTAGTTTTTTGCTCAACATTCTTTATGGTGTTATGACCTTTTCAAACAATGTACGAGAATATTGCAACCAAATTGTTGATGCTGATTTTCGAGCTGGTGCCAAATATATAGATACATGTTATGACCTTTCCAAACAACGTATGAGAATCTTGCAACCAAATTGTTGATGCTGATTTCCAAGCTGGTGCCAGAGGTATAGAACACGTTATGATCGATTTTGACATTCCCTTCCTCCCCCTTCAAGTTCAGAGTGGGGCGCGACATGCAATCGCTTGATACCTTTCCAGACGTTTTGCTAGGTGAGTTTTTCAATACATCAACTGCATTTGAGTGTCCGTACGACTTGGCTTCCACTTTCCAATGCTCTCGGTATGGGTTTAGTGCGCTTTGTGTGCCCTCTTTACTGGTAAGTGGAGTCCTGTGTGTTGGCATTGAGGGGTTCCACGAGGCGCTCAAACCTTTTACTCAACAATAGCCCACTTCTCTAATCAAGCCTCTCCTTATAGGTCGACGGAGAAGTAATAAGGTTTCAGCGCTGGGTGCCACGTGCAACCTTAGTACGAACATGTCGCTGACTTCATTAATGAGGAGTTCGGATGTCACTCCTCATGGTGTCACGCCAGACTCTAACATGATGGCCTGCTGCAGGTGCGTCTTTTTTCTTTTTTAGTTGGCGCGTGTCTCAAGATCCGAATCAAACTTCCTACTCCAACACCGTCCAATCACTCCTTCATCTAACGGCTATAGGGGAGATGGTCCCTAGGTTTAAAAGCAAGAGGAAAAGACCTTTCTCCTTTTGCTTCGCATTTCGAATTGGTCAATTTGTTCTTTGTTTTTCTCCTTCAGTGTGCTTCCTCTATTTGTATTCCAATTACTTTTCTTCTGTCTATCAACCAGCGCTAGGCTATGTGCACGTCGCCCTAAAGGAGATTGGGCCCTGGGTAGGGGGTAGTGGCCATACCTGGGCTTAAGGTGGAGCATCTTTCGTTCAGCCTAATGCAGGGGGACCTAAATGAACTCCCAGATCAATACCGCGTCCTGGGGACCATTCTAATGCACCTCCCTACAATCAATGGACGATCGACTTTGCTCCCTCCAGATTGGTGGGGTCCCAATGGATAGGGTTGCCTATGGAGCTTATGGGTTCTTCTGTTGGAGTACGACAGGGGCTCCAAGTTGTAGGCCTACAAGGTATTTCAATGTACAGTCTGCAGACTATCCCGGACCGCTCGAACTGTTGCTGCCTCATCTCGTTAGTAGGGAGGCTGTTGAAGGGCATGAATTCCTTAAAATTTGGAAGGACGACAGGTACTTTGTCGGGTGCGATTGGTCGGCCCCCACCAATAAAGGTGTACCTGGCCCACATACCTCTCGAATTTGGGGAACAAGGTGGGGCATATGCTTTTCTGTTTCAGTCATGGTGCCTTGGTCGTGCCTAATTATTCTTTTTGTCTTTTTAAGTTCCGCTGACTAGTTCATAAATTTGGCGCTCACACCTGGGATGTGATAGAACGGGTCAGGGTGCTAAAGGGCTACCGTTTTTAATCGACTCCATTATCACCAAGAACCATCTGGTTCGTAGTGGTCTTATTTCAGTGTCCCTTCCTCGTGATGTTAGCCTATCTAGCACCGCTTAGCCCTCAATTGCTAAATTTCTAGCCCCAGACGGAGGACCGCCCTCAGTGCGCTACTGCATTTATAAGTAATACATAATTTAACTAAAAATGTAGACTAACACAAAGTAGATCCAAACACGCATCTCATATTTCCTAACATACAAGAGCAAGTAATCCCAAAATGGTGGGTAACATTTTAGAATAATAAGAAAGATAAAGCAACTATACTTGACAGTAAGGAAAAAGTCGAAATTACAGCATCTAAAGTTACAACTAAAGCTTACAACCTCATCTAAAATAGAAATTAGTTAATAGGGGATGGGAAAAAAACAAAGATGCAAAAATAACCCATTCTTGTGAAAGTGGTAAAGAGCAGCTGATTATCCTCCAGTTTCTTCGCAAAACTGCAGGTCCTTTGTTTGCTTCATCTTTCAGCTTCCCAGCATATAAAATGGGTGTATTCCCTCTCATTCTTTTAGTCATTTTCTGATCTTTCCTCCTTGGGATCCATGATGTTGATAGGCTAAATGGTTGATAGGCTAGCTGATCAAGAATGTAACTATATATTTTTTTATGGATATAATGGGTACAATTAGATCACCATTGCGCTAGAAGATAGCAAAAAAACTACCTTTACATGTCTGTATGATACCTTTACTTTTTGAAGGATGCCTTTTAGGCTATGCAATTCTCCAGCAACATTCTAATGTTGCATGATTGTAGTATTTTAAGACTTAGTAGAGTCCATTGTCGATGTGTTCATGGACGACTTCTTAGTATTGGGAGAGACATTCGTTGAATGCCTATTAAACTTAAGAAGAGTCCTACAAAGATGTGAAGGAACCAATGTTGTGCTAAATTGGGAGAAGTGTCACTTCATTGTCCAAAAGGGCATCGTGTTGGGAAATCGTGTATTCAAAAAGGGGATAGAGATAGACAAGGCAAAAGTAAAAGTAATAGAAAAGCTATAACCACCATCAAAATCGTGTATTCTATCACACACGGTTTTAAAGAATATTTATTAAATCTTTCTTTAAAATTTCAAAGCCTTTATGTTCTTTACTTGAATATTATAAAACGTTTGAATTTTTCTCTAACTCTTTGCTGGCATTTAATGCATGGAAAAAAGCGCTCACTAATACTCCAATTACAATTCCATACTAGATGTTTATGCAAGGATATGCACAACAGTGTATCTCTGATCGCAGCTCGAACTCGATCTCCGGACCGATCTGAACACTTGGGCGGACCTGCACAAAAAGGTGAGCACTCCGACGATCAAGTCAGTATAGGTCGGATTCTCAGTTTTAGTTCGAGGTCAAAGAATCATCGTACCTGATCTTGGAGTGAGGTCCTCTATTTATGGGTGGTAGTCCCGTTAATCTCGCGACGGTTACACCCGGTAATCTCGGGACCGTCGGTTACACCCGGTAATCTTGGGACCGACGGTTACACCCGATAATCACGCCGTTGACAATAGCTCACATCGGCCCCCACCGAGCTTCTCGGTAGATCGGACCTTGGCCAGGTCGCACCTCGGCCCTCGTACTTAGCACCTGTCAACGCTAGTGGTGGTGATCTCGGCGATTCGAGCTGGGCGTGATTCATGAGTCCAGGGTATTCTCTTCCCCAAACACTAGACAATTTGGAATCATGTGTCCAGGGTCCTCCACGTGTCCAGGGTATTCTCTTCTCCAAACACTAGATAATTTCATTTGAAATCATGTGTGATGCTATTGACTATGCCTAGTTAGCAATGTTGGGGCAACGAAAGGACAAGTTGGTACACCTTATTTACTACGCCACCAAAACTCTTGTATATGTGCAGGTGAACTATACAACAACAAAGAAAGAATTATTAGTATTAGTCTTTGCATTTGAGAAGTTCATAGTATATCTCGTAAGAACCAAGATAGTGGACTACACAGACCACTCTGCTATCAAATAGCTATTAGCTAAGAAAGACGCCAAATCGAGAAAAATTCACTGGGTATTATTGCTTCAAGAATTTGATATTGAGATCCGTAATAAAAAAATGGGTCATAGAACCTAATAGAAGATCATCTCTCGAGTGATTTTGGAAGGATAATACAGAGAATAGCAACCAGAAATAAGAGAGGCTTCCCTGTTAAGCATATACTAGAAATTACTCAGGGTGAACAGCATATACTAGAAATTACTCAGGGTGAACAGAAGGAAGCTCCTTGAATTGTAGACTTGGCAAATTGCCAAGTTTGTGGGATACTGCCACCTGATCTGAATAAGCACGAATTGAAGAAATTTTTCCATGAGACGAACCATATAGGTTATGCCAATACCAAATTGATAGGAGGTGCGTAGCAGATGCTGAAATGTTGCAAATGTTGGAAGCAATGTTAATGAAGTATCCTACAAATGACACTTTCGAGGGTAGATAGTTCAAAGTCGGTACTATTGGACTTTAGTATTGAAAGATGACCATGCATTGATTAAGAGCTCTGACAGATGCCAGAGAGGGGGAAATATTTATGACGGAGCTGAGATGCCATTGAACTACCCCTCCCCCCCTTATCTTCACACAATTCTTTGAAAATAAAGCGCAAGTGCGTGTGTGAAATTGGCTGTAATAATGGAAATAAGGTCATATCAACAAAGACTGATGCAAACACTTCAAACTATTCTCAAGAATACCAAAGAACCAAAGTATAATAATAAACTCTAATATGGTGCAAAAACAAAGAATAATATAATGTAAAAACAACTTAAAAAGAAAAATGTTAACAACAGACAAGTGATGCGAAGACAAGAAGACTGATAACAGTAAAGGGAAAACGAGGGAGATTTGTTGTACTTTTGTTTACTGATTCCAACAGATGCTCTAGCGAGCATTGATTTTCAACTGATGCTCAAACAAACATGGTTCCTTCCATAACATTTAGATGACAATTCTTCACAACTTTAATTGTTATAATTGAGTAGTATAAACAGTTTATAAGCAATGCTATTTGAATCTCATTCCTAAGAATTCACCATGAAAATAAAAATTTAGGCTAACATCAAGTAGAGCCAATCAGGCATCTCATATATTTTTCCAAATCATGTAAGAGCAAGCAATCCAAAAATGATGACCAACAAATTCAAAGAGTTAAGAAATACTAACAACTATACTTAACAGCTTACAAAATCGAGCTATAGCAACTATTGTTTACAGCAAAAGTTTACAACCTCCCCCAAAATGGAATTTAACTCACCAGGGTTGAGGAAAACATAAAAGAAAATAAAAGAGAACAATCAATTTCTGCGAAAATAACAAAGAACTAAAAGCTTCCTCTAGTCTTCGTAGAAATTCGAAGGTCTCCTGCTATTGAAGGTAAGTTCTCTCCTCTCTTTTTGGTCCTTTTTCGAATAATTCTCTTTGAGATCGATGTTGTCAGCTGCGATTCTTCTTGCTTTTGGACCATCTTCTAATTTTAGGGCAACGGATAACAGGTGTGTGGAAATTTGGTAAAAATCCACATGAAAGTAAGTTACTGCGTTGCCCTATTTTTTCGTACTTTCGATGTTGTCCTGGCCTTATCTATCCATCTTTGTTGCTCTGCTTCTGATGCTCCAACAATTTCTGCACGAGAGATCAAAAGAAGCAAGTACTAAGCCGAATCTTTCAAATCTTTCAAAACAAGTATACAAAGGGATTCTTTTTCATACTTCTCCTATTAATTATGCATTAAAGTAATATAAGGAAAGCACACTCACAATTATAACCATATAAACTCAAAATAAGACTACGAAAACTGAAGACCTTGCTTGTCCACGAGCAAAACTATACCCTTCAAGCAACGCAACACAGTCATAGCTCTGTTAACAAAGTGAGATCCTTCATCACTTATCAATACTCTCGGTGTTCCAAACCTCATAAAGATGTTCTTGTGTAAAAATTTGAGAACCACCTTGGCATCACTAGTGGCACAAGTTTTGGCCTCTACTATAGTCTACTGCTAGAAGAATGAATAAGTTGCCATTGCACGATGGGAAGGCCCCATAAAGTCTATTCCCCAAACATCGAACAGTCCAATTTCTAAGATGAAATTTAAAGGCATTTACGACTTATTGGAAATATATCCCATATGTTGACATCTATCACAGCTCTTCACAAAGGCGTGGGCATCCTTGAATACTGAGGGCCAGTAGTAACGACTTTGAAAAACCTTTGTTGCAGTTCTTTGTCCACTAAAGTGTCCATCGTAGGAAGTAACATGACATTGTGGAAGCACATCCATTGTCTTAGCATTAGCAATGCATCTCCTTGTAATTTTTGTTGGAAAAATCAGAAAATATGAATTGAAATTATGCTGTGCCGTGGAAAAAACCACTGCCTTGAAAGCGAAAATCCGACTCGACCGTGGTGCAATCGAAAATCAACTGTTCGCCCCCAAGGTTAACACAGCAACTCCTAGACACGTGCACTCATGACTGGGAGAAAATGTACATCTTTTAAAACCAAACCTAACCTCTATTTATATAGAAACACGTTTCTATTTTTAGTGGTTTTAAAAATAAGCAAGGTTAAATTTTAATACAATTAAAAATAGTAAATAAAACCATTTCTTTTGACTAAGAATTAGTCATTCCCAACAAAACCGTATGTATAAATTATTAAACTCATAGGCATGAATATATTAAACTTTGTATTCAGCCAGAAATATGTATACATATATAATTTTCATATTAATTTTCAACTCATGAAAATTCATCGCTGGATAAAATACTCAATGACCACCATAATTTAGGATATATGACATCATAACTTAAATTACCAATTTAAGGTCATATTCATTACCTCTTAATATCCTTTTGCTTCACCATTAAGCTGCATTACCAAAACAACTTAATTTCCATTAACATGCTAGATGAGGTAATCATAATCACGGTAACACAAGACTACATTAACATGTTGGAAACAATTATGAGATTAGCCAAATATAAGTATGTATGTATGTATATATATATCATCTCACATCATTATAATAAGAAACAACTGTCATGGTTCACATACAAAATACATGTATATACAATAAATTATCATGCTGAAAAAATGACATCAATATAAATTGATAAATTCTCAAATTCCTCGTAAGGCGCCACACATAATTTTAAAACCTTTTTGAGTTGGGTAGAGAATTTCAGCCTAAAAAATCTTAACAGTTTTTAGCTATATATATGCAATAAACTATAAAATCTATAGCTAAAAATGGACAAGATTTAAACAACTTTTACGTTATCTCCAAATCTCACAACCTTGCAACAACATTTTCCTAGAGAATAATTCAGTAGCAATAGTGAGGGAAGAAGTGACTTTTACCGATTTCATCTTTTTAACTTTGCTTCTATAGCAGCTCTAGATGAATCGCTAATGGTAATGCTCCCCTCAGTACTATTTGAACAATTGTACTGTGAAACAGCACCCTTGGTGCTACTCCTGCAGAATTCATCCTAATTTTCCTTCAATTGGACGTCATCGACAAACTATTTGAACAATTGTACTGTGAAACAGCACCCTAATTGGGTCGTACAAATCCCCTCACGATCAGCCGTTTTGAGCCCTTTCATTTCGGTGCATACCAACTGCTCGACCAAATGACTAACAGAGATGGACACCTCGATTCCTCCAACCCAAACACCACTGCACTTATGTCGTGAATGGATTTTGGGATGAAGCCCTTTCCTCCAACACCCACACCACCAATCACCATCACAGGGGTTAGAATCATTTGTCAAATTTGAGGTTACTCCTGTAATGAATAAATTAAATACTGCATAAATCATGATCAATCAAGGAAATCACATATAACACTATAAAATTTAAGAATTTCAATTCAAGTTTTTCGCTTTCAGATTGTTGGAAAAATCAGAAAATATGAATTGAAATTATGCTGTGCCGTGGAAAAACCACTGTCCTGAAAGCGAAAATCCGGTTGTGGTTCAATCGAAAATCAACTGTTCGCCCCCCAAGGTTAACACAACAACTCCGGTTAACACAACAACTCCGAGACACGTGCACTCGTGACTGGGAGCTGGAACACATACTACAATTACCCAGAAATTATTAAAGCGATAGAGAAAATGTACATCTTTTAAAACCAAACCTAACCTCTATTTATATAAAAACAAGTTTGTATTTTTAGTGGTTTTAAAAATAAGCAAGGTTAAATTTTATTACAGTTAAAAATAGTAAATAAAACCATTTCTTTTGATTAAGAATTAGTCATTCCCAACAATTTTATGTTGGCATAGCCTGTACAAATATGAATCATCCCAATAATAGAATCTGCTATCATGTAGGAACTTTTTAATTAAGTTGCTGCTTGCTTCGATCTGGTGGCAATGTTACACAAGCTAGATAATTAGCCAAATGTGCAAACCATGGGTCTATTTCCTTCGCCACATGTGTGACAGCCAGTAGCTGCTCATCTGGGAATGCATCTCACATAAAAATTACTCCTTTAATTTCCCTAACTCCACCAATGATAAATGATCGCGATCTAATTCTCTAAACCTTTTTATCACAGGTTTCCAAATCAAATTTCTGGAGTAATATTACCCATCAAATGAGCTTCGATTTGGCATCTTTCTTTGCTAATAGATATTTGATGGCTGAATAATATGTGTACAGGACAATCTTTGTTCCCATTAAATAGGATGTGAATTATTTGAATGCAAAGGCCACTACCAACAACTCTTTTTTAGTGGTGGTATAATTTAGCTGCGTTTCTACCAATTTTTTACTAGCATAATAAATGGGATGAATCAATTTCTCCTTTCATTATCCCAACATTGCTCCCACTACATAGTTGCCTGCATCACACATGACTTAAAATGGTTTGTTCAATCTAGAGCTGTCATAATTGGTGTCTTGGTCGATGCTTCCGTCAGGATATTGAATGCCTGCATACAATTAGAAAAGAAATCAAAAGTCCTATCAACTTCAAGTAAAAAGAACAAAGAGGTTTTGAAATTTTAGAAAAAGCCTTTAATAAATCTCCAATAGAACCCAACATGTCCAAGGAACCTGCAAATTCCCTTGACTGTGATTGGTGATGACAACTGTTCTATAACTTTGATCTTTGCTCTATTCATTTCTATTTCTTGCTGAGATAGGCCAGCCTAACACTATGTCCTCTTACACCATGAAATGAAATTTCTCACAAGGTTAGTCTCTTCATATCTTTGCAGTACTTTCTGTAAATTTTCATGCACTTTGCAAAAGTTTCCCAAAGACCGAAAAACCATCCATGAAAACCTCCACACCATGTTCCACAAGATCTGAGCAAGTATCAATTATACATCAATGAAATATTGTTGGGGCATTGCAGAGACCAAATAAAATCCTCCTAAAAGCGAATGTTCCGTAGGAGCATGTAAATGTGGTTTTCTATTGATGTAGCGGTGTGATGGTTATTTGATTATAGCCATTGTACCCGTCTAAGAAGCAATAGTATTGTTGGCTAGCCTACTCGTCTAACATTTGATCAATGAATGGTAAAGGGAAGTGATCCTTCTTCGTGGGCTTGTTCAATTTCAAATCCTCCACCATATTATTATTCTAGTGGATATGAGCTCATTCTTTGAATTTTCCACTACTATCATTCCACCTTTCTTAGTTATACATTGAATGCAACTCACCCATTCACTATCTGAAATGGGGTGTATAATTCCTGCATCCAACCATTTTATGACTTCCTTCTTTGCAACTTCTTTCATTTCAGGGTTTAATCTACGTCGGGGCTTAACAAAGTTCTTACATTCTTCTTCGATTACAATTTTGTGCATTCAAAAGCTAAGATTGATGCTACGAATATCTGCGATTATTCAGCCAATTGCTCGTTATTTGGGAGTTTGTATTCGAATTAAGTTAGTAGAGCGCAAGTGTACACCCATCATAATAATAATGGAATGAGTATTCTGGGTATCCATCCACAGGGACTAACGTCGTCTTTTTAATTAAAATGATGATGATCGGTAAATTTGCAATTGATTCAACAGTGACAAATAACACAAATGTTGTTGGTTTTGATGTTTTAAAACATAATAAGTAAGCCCATCCCAATTACTTCAAATTAGCTAAGAAAACACGAAATGAAACCAGCTAGCCGCAGGTGGTTTCCTTGTTTAAAAATCGGTTCTACTTCATAATCTTCTTATGTCTAAGTGATTTTGAAGGCTTAAATCTATTCCTAATATGTTTATTAGAAAAAAGGAAATTTAGCTTAATAAAAACCAACAGTAACTGGATCGAGGTTCTATGAGACTAGTCGAACGAAACCTTTATGTCTAAAGTCTTCCCCTCCAAAGTTAAATCAAGTAAGTTTTAAAAATAATTCAACCCTTTCAATATTGATGTTTTGTTAAATCATTAAGTGGCCAAATTAAATCCTTAACTTTATAAAATAACTTTTAAGTGATAAAAGAAGTGAGAAAACACCTTTTATCTTGCTCTATTTTTAAAAACCAAATTAAATCCTTACCTTTATAAAATAACTTTTAAGTGATAAAAGAAGTGAGAAAACACATTTTATCTTGCTGTATTTTTAAAAACATTGTTAATTATGATCGAGCAAGGAAAAACAAATTTAGCTCATGTTCATAAAGTAAAACTAAATTTAACAATGTTTAATTTCAAATACATAATTTTATGATAATAAAGTAATAACACGCTCTAGAGTCGAGGAAGAAGTAATTTGGATGAACCTAACCCATTCTCTTTCGAGGTTGGGGAGAAATACTCGTTCAATTCCACAAAAATTGTGTAATTTCTAAAACCTCTTCAGGTTCCTTCCAGAAGGAGGAATGAAATTAAACAAAATAACTTGCTGGAATTTTTATAAAGGCAGTTCAACATTACAAAGCGAAAGTAACAAGCTGGAATTTTTATAAAAACCAAGCGAAGTTTTAAAATAACTAATTTTAAAATAATAACCAGAGTAAAAACTAAAGTGAATCTAAACTAGAATGAGAAAACAACTTAGTAAGCTCCGAAACAATCACTTTAGATGATGAATTGAGTGAAGGAGCCGCTGGTTTTTTGTTTTTATAAGGACATCAAGGTTGTCAAAAAGTTGAGAACTTTGTGGTGAACCGATACTTTAAAACCTCTCTGACTCATTTAGTTGTTGAATAGGCTTCTTCCCATGCATGGATGATAGCTTAGGTATAATTTTCTGCACAAAAACGTAATTTTCATCATAAATCATATCTAAATGTTATAAAAATCAGTGCATTTATAACCCAAAGATAAAACATAATGCATGGGTTTGGGTAGCAAACTCAGCTCAAAAGCACTGTTTCTGAGCATAAAGTAACAGAAAATAACACTATCAAGTTTTTTTTTACCCTTGAAAACAAAGGGAATCACACCCTCAAACTTGGCTTTTGGCTTGTTCCCAAGCAAACTTAAACAAATTATTTC